AACTACCAGTAACTACTAGTTACTACAAGTAACTATTCGTAACTACCACTAGCTATTAGGGAGAAGACACAATAGTACATATTACACAGAGTGTATATTACCGGTGCACTTGTGGCTTTCCACCATGAAGTATATACCCCTTCCCCTGTCTACCCCAACCACTTTCCCCTAAACTCCATGTTGTATTTTGGACCCTCAAGTCTTTCGTTTATAAAAAAAGGTGGGTCTTTATTACGAGGTTGTTGAGCCTGTTAGTAGTAAGGCTTGTGTAGCTGGAGGCATGTAGCTGTCATAATGTGGATGTACATGCAACGTTGCTTGCAAAATAATCTGGGCCATCATTCTCTCATGTTTTCTGTTACCTTCTGCTTTCTCTCTTTCATAAGTGAAAAACATTTCATCCCGTTTCTGCTCCGATGCTAAGATTGTCTGAAGTTGGACATCTTTATTTCCCTCTTCTTCTCTTGTACTGTTTTCTATACTCTTTGCAACCTGAATCATAGCATCACTTGGAATTTCGTTTGGGGTGTAACTTAATCGTAGCTGATTTTCTTGGTCTTTTACCTTTACTGTTTCCTGCCTTTCTCGATGTAATTTCCGGCATCTACTTTCTTGGTCTCTCCTCCACCTTGATTGTTTGAACTTTGCACGCTGGTTACAACTCCTTCTTCTTCGCTTTCGACACTGTTACTTGCCGTCGCCAAACGGGGGTGTTTGCTTGACTTCACGTCAGAAGGGCCCTCAGAGCTGACATCACTGTAGCATCTGGTATCTTCTTCCTCGCTTTCATTTTCAGAGGTTAAATCATCTGCTTTACTTAAGAGTGATGTCATCTTCAACTGCATCACAGAAGTGTGGATTCATAATATCGTACCACTTAGGTACGTTTGTGTCCTTCCTTTCGAGCCCAGAGTCACATTTAATCTTGTTATCTATGCTTGACCATTACTTTTTGAACCATGTAAGCTTTGCTCGTAACTGGTCAATCGTAAACTTGTAGTCTTTGCTTTCAGACTTCTTGAATATGCGTCCAAAATGACAAACAAGTTTTGAATTCAACCTTCCAGTCTTTGTTTGAGCTTCACGCTTGACTAACTGGGATACTCAAGTTCAAGCATGGATGCTGGTAGCGTTTTGGTCTGACAGGTAATGGAATTTACATATGAAAATTAGCAATATTCAAAGGGAAACTCTTTGGCAAGTTGCTCGGCAGCTACACCTTGGCAAACAATGGTAAGCTTCATTTCATTTTCAGTGAACAGCTCTGACCACTGAGTATTTCCGGCTTTTTTGACTTTGTTGGCTTGCTCAGTACTCTCGCTGATAGTCTTGTCAGTCACTGGGTCAGATACATGCCAACTTTATGATGCTAGAAATATTTTTTGTGTTATTATATTGTGGGTTGTTTTATTGAATACACTAGAAACGTCATCTATACGAGTCTTTGTTAGGAAGAGAGAAATGACATTTCTTCCGCGAGGATCGCCAGTGATGCACTTATTACTCCCTTCCTGGGCACAGATTTGGGAATTGACAGTGTAACCGGTATTGTTTTTGTGAGAATATTATTTTTTAGGCACAGTCTGTTCCACCAGCCAGCACTCCTTCTGAACCTAGCCAGCCAGCATTGTCTGTCGAGTACAAGAAGTACTCCAGGTAGACACGCTTCTGCAATACCATCAGCATAGTAGAGTGTTTCACTACACAAAGGAGAAAACAAAGACAACTGGAAAAGGGAAATCCTCAATTGAAAAAATCCCACGTGCACTATTAAATTCTGCTGCCTGGGGTTTGTTAGCATTAGTAAGCCATTAACTGTAGGCAGGTACAAAAGTCGGACCAAATGAAACAAAAATGAAATAAAATTGGACTCGGATCAAGTCGGATCATAAAAAAAAAAAGAAAATCAGTCAGCATCACTTACCTTTCACCTGCCATTTTGTTTTTTTCTCACAAACTCGTGGTTGCGTTACACGTCATGTTATATATTGATATGGTGACAATATCCGTCCACAGTTATGGGCGTAGATGAAGCTCATTAATTTTAAATCATTCTAAGAAAATATGTTTTAGTCACGTTGAATGTGTATGTCAGTGGCGGATCCAGACCTTGAAAGACAGGAAGCGCCTGCCACCCGCTTGCTCCACCTCAGCACGCTTATCCAAACTGTGACTCTCGGTGGCGAACCGGTGGGAAATCCTCGGTCTCAAATAAATTTTCTTTGCTATTTTGAGTCTCAGCTTAGTCTAAGAAAGGGAGGGGGGAAGTCCCCTGGATCCACCACTGTTTATATTTGCTTTCTTATTTATTTATTTATATTTTTTTCACAGCAGGTAATATTGCTTTTTGCCACAAGTTCAAAGGAAAAAGGAAGTTTCTTTACTATCAAACTATTAGGAAACTATATAATGCATCCTCATGACCCACCAGAACGGATTAAGTTAACTTCCCACAATGCCCTATCCCTCTGTCAAGACCCTTGGTTTCCATTACTCCCCCTCCCCATCCCTTATAAGAGGAAGATGCCCCACCACCCACTTGGATGCCAAGACACATGGTCCCTTGTCCAGGCCCACCCCTGTGTTCCAACCTTTCCTTCACACCTCTCCTCTACTGCTCAGACATAGTACTATCCTCAGAGGCCCAGGCCCAAGGTCACTTCCTTGCCCCCACCCCGCAAAACTGTGTCCTAAGGCAGTAATTAAAAGTAGTTTTGACCAGTTACCTAACTCTGAGTTGAACATGGATTTATTTAGCATCAAATTAAAAAACCAAGCTCAAGTCACTTATGAGAACCAACGTAACTGTAACACGAATTAATTTAAATAAAATTAACAATGACAATGCAGCTAAATGCAGCTGTAAGATAATATTTATAATGCATTTTCTCTTGATAAATTCTATAAAAAGGTAGAAAACATGATCAGAACCATTTCTACTGAACTTTATATTCAGCCCTCAGGCTCACTGAGTAAATTAAATGTGAATTTTATCATTCCATCGTTAGCCCCTTATATGACTGTGAAAAGTGAATAACAGTAGAAATAAATTATAATAAATAGTTAATAACTAATTCATTAAATCATGATCATGTATAACTTGACTTCTGATAAATTTGCAACTTTAACATCTATAAAGAAGGTATAAAACATGAACAGAACCACTTCTTCTGACATGTTGACAGTGGTGTTGTGTAGGGAACGGAATACTCTAAAGAGAAAATTGTACATTAAAATGTGCATTTTATTCAGTCCTTGGGCTCATTGAGTAAATTTCAATGTGAAATCCACCATTCCCTCATTAGCCTCTGATACAAATCTGAAAACTAAGTAATTGTTACAGTCCATTAATTTTCATACAGAAAAGAATGTTTGGAACAAGAAACTTCAAGTAATAACCAAAACTCAACCAATTTAGAGCAACCAAAATTTGATTAATACTTTGCCAGACTAAGTTTACAGTCAAACCAAGAAAACTGTGAACACTTGAATTATTTTAGGAACGTTAATTGTGCTGTGACCTATCGCAGCAAAGATCAGGTCACATAAGCAAGCCCCAAAACCGCAAACTAATTAATGTTCTTGCTTTCAGGTTAGTTTTCGCACGCCTGATTGGCTTTTTTCTTGCAACACAATAACTTCCCAGAAATATTTCTGGTGTTCACCGTTTTCCCAGGTTTCACTGTCGCACATGGGCAGAGTTACAATGCTTCACACATTAACTATCAAATGAAATTGTATTCGTGAAATAACCTTTCAGTTGAGCCCTTTAATCAGCTCCAATGCTCCAAATAGTTCTTTCCACACGAGTAGCCAATCAACAATAATTATTGATAATAATATCAATTTTTGACATTACCTTTGTGTAACACCACTACTGCCTTTATGACTGAGTACAGTAAACTAACGTATTTTGATATTAATTACACTGACCCAATCTGGGGTCTTGTTTTTTCTGGGTTACTTTGTTAGCTGTTCCTTTTTTTGTCTGGCTGGTATTTATTTTAACTTTCAGTCTCGGCAGGCTGAGAGATTTCTTGCTATTGCACATAAACAACAAAGGCAGCATCTTCCTAAAAAATGCTTCTGAAACATTGCAGCAAAAGTAGTTGAGGCAACTCAGGCAAAACATGAAATTAAAATGTTGGCTGGAAACACTGGAGAGTAGGGCGTGAGTATGTCCAGCCAAAAATAAATAATGGAGGAGGCACACCATCTTTCAACGTACCACAACTTGTGTCCCTTAATGATTGCAAGGATAAAGTGCTTAATCTTTTCTTTCCCATAGGAAAGAGACCAGTTGGTAATCCAGTAGAAATGAGAATTGATTAATTTAAACTGTAATTTTCAATAACTTTTGTAAATTGTAATTTTGTTACTTTTCTTCTAGCTTTCTACAATTTTTGTAATTTTTCCTTTGTTTGTAAATATGAAATAAAGTGTTGTTGTAAGATAATAATGAAAAAAAAGAAATGAGCATTGGCATGGGAAACTCCAGTGGGGAGTTCACTGCATTGCACTTTACCGCTGACAGGGTTCCCGTTGCCAAGACTCTACTTGCTAACAATACACCAAGGCGAGGAAGAGTCTGAAGAAGAGTTAACAGCACTGGCTTTTGAGAAACATCCAAGTTCTCTAAGGATATCAACCAGATGCTTTCCTGGCAAAAATGATGGGTTTCTTGAAACATGCTTTGGACCTCATGAACATTTAAAAGGAAGCCCTTCTCTTAACCTTCACGAAGATGAAGGCTGGTTTGGTGGAACATTGGCTGAGCATCAAGAACGTTCTGAAGCAAACGTACCAACCACTCTTTAACTTTGGCGAAAATGATGGTCTTATTGGAACATCAACCGAGCGTCAAAATGATTTTGAAGCCCTGGAGTGGGTGGAGTGGGTGACAAAGGTGTCCCTTGAAGCAGACAAAGAAGAAGAGCAAAGCTTGATTTAGAACTGAGAATGGCCAAGGAAGAGGCAAAACGTTTTAAAAACTCTTCGAAATGGTTATGAGTTGCGATGTCCCCAAGAAGCAAGAAGCAGCAATCCTCGTCCATGGGTTTCAGTACGTCACAGCATCTTGGGTGTGGTTACTCGAGTGTTCCATTCAAACAGAACAATATCAGGAATTTAATGACTGGGTGGAAACGCTATCTATTACACTGGAACCTTCTTACATAACTACATTTCCCTCTTCAAAGTTGTTCCTTGATGATCCAATCATTACAGTTAAAAATACTATTCTCAACATGACGGTGATCAGCCCTATTCAGTGTACGTCTTTTGACCAAAATTTATCGGAGCAGTTCAATTTAGGTCCATTGCTGTTCACCATCTATGCAAGTAAGCCTTTTGAGGTTATTAAGGACTATCTACCACAATCGCACACATACACAGACGATACTCAGCTGTATCTATCATTCAATGCTGACTCGGCTTGTTCGCAAAATGATGCAGTTGAGGCAATGAAGCAATGCATACAGGCTATATGATTGTGGATGATCAAGGATAAACAACAACTGAATGATAGTAAGACGGAGTTCATGAAAATAGGCACCAGAAAGCGGCTGGCTAAAGTGAACATTGATGGTCCTAGTGTCGGCGAGAGCATTATAGCTCCCATAACTTCAGTTAGGAACTTGGGATCATGGTTTGACCAGAACCTGAGTATGATACCACACATTAGTAAGATATGTAAGCTGCATGTTTTCATATTTACAATATAAGGCGGATCAGAAAGTACCTCAACAATGATGCCACACAAACACTTGTTCACTCCATTGTTATAAGCTGCTTAGATTACTGTAATAGTCTTCTTTATAAATTTCCCGTGGTACACATGAGTAAGTTACAATGCATTCAAAATAGTGCTGCCCGGCTCGTATGCTCAACTCTGAGGTTTAGTCATATTATACCCATCTTGTTTGCTATGCATTGGCTACCCGTTGCCTACCATATCGAGTTTAAAATATTAGTTTTAACATTTAAAGCAATATATCAACTTGTGCCGTCCTATATCTGCAATCTAGTTCGATTAAAGGAGAATTGTAAATACCGGCTTCATTCTTCTGAAGAACTACTATTACAGTTGCCCATGGGAAAAACTAACAAAACTCTGGGTGACCGATCATTCCAAATAGCTGCCAATGCACTATGGAACAGTCTGCCTGCAAGTGTCATAGACATCGACAACTTTTTGGTTTTTAAACGAACAATAAAGACTAACTAATTTAGGAAGGCTTTTGCGTGTTATAGTTAGATTGATAAATTTTAGATTACAAATTTTCGGTATTCTTAAGTATACGTTATTGTAATTATTACAGGTAGTTATAGTTGTAAGGCGCATTTGATCATATTCAGATGTTAATTTGTGCCTAATAAGAAATAAATAGTATCATTATTATTAACCTGCAGACTGGGTTTCGAGCACGATTGCAGCCAAGAAGCCAGACGGAAACATTCATTTGCGCATTGATCCCCATTACTTAAATCTAGCCTTCAAACGAAGCCATTACCCTCTCCCGGTGAAAGAAGAGATCCTACCAGAACTCTCAAAGGCTAAAGTGTTCAGCAAAGTTGATTTGAAAGAACGTTTTCTTCAAGTTGAATTAGACAAAAAATCCAGTAAACTAATTGTCTTTCACACACCCTGGGAGCGGTATCGCTTTCACAGAATGCCCTTTGGAATCACCCTAGCCCTGGAAATTTTTCAGATGAAACTTGACCAAAACTTTGGAGGACTGAACGGAGTCTTCAAAATAGCTGGCAATATACTGATCACTGGTCAAGGAGAAACAGAGCATCAGGCAGATGAAGATGGATTGATGCAGCCAGCGCAACATTAAACTTAACAAGAAGCAGTTTACATTCAAGTGCAATGATGTAAAATTCATTGGCCATTGCCTAACAAAAGGTCTAAAGCCTGACCCTGTTGATGTGAAAGCAATTCTTAGAATCAAGAAACCTGATGATGTAGCGCGGCAGTGCGTAGGCTGATGGGTAGAGATATGTCCAGAAATGCACGCATTGGCGAAAATGGCAGAAATGGCAATTAATCACCAAAATCGCCAAACTATAAACAAAAATTCAAATGAGATGGCAAAGGGGCCCTTTGGAAAGTGACGATTTCGGCGAAAATGGTGCATTTGGCAAAAATGGCAGAAATGGCAATTAATCGCCAAAATCGCGAAACTGTAAACAAAAATTCAAATGAGATGGCAAAGGGGCCCTTTGCAAAGTGGCGATTTCCGCGAAAATGGCGTATTTGGCGAAAATGGCAGAAATGGCAATTAATCGCCAAAATCGCCAAACTATAAACAAAAATTCAAATGAGATGGCAAAGGGGCCCTTTGGAAAGTGGCGATATTAGCGAAAATGGCGCATTTGACGAAAATGACAGAAATGGCGCTTAATCGCCAAACTGTCAACAAAAATTCAAATGAGATGACAAAGGGGCCCTTTGCAAAGTGGCAATTTCGGCGAAAATGGCGTATTTGGCGAAAATGGCAGAAATGGCGCTTAATCGCCAAACACGCCAAACTGTAAACAAAAATTCAAACATGATGGCAAACGGGCCCTTTGGAAAGTGGCGATATTGGCGAAAATGGCATATTTAGCGAAAATGACGGAAATGGCGATTAATCGCCGAAATTGCCAACTTATAAACAAAAATGCAAATGAGATGGCAAAGGGGCCCTTTGGAAAGTGACGATTTTGGCGAAAATGGCGTACACTAATTCTGTATCTTTTCATCAACCACAAATAAAAAAAAAATATAGAGTGCATGTTGGCCTCGTTCTTAAAACGTGTTTTGGCATACCTAATTTGTCAAGACAAATAGAAATGACATAGCAAAGGGTCCCTTTTGAAATGGCTATTAATTGCCAAATAGTTAACCACATATTAATATAAAAATGTTTCCAATATTATAATTGTATACTAATAATGACAACGCTACTCTAACTTAAGTGTCATTAATCTGTTTTTAATGCTTTTACCTTTAATGGATAACCTCTTGTGATTTCAAATTCGTCCCAGACAAGAGTGTCTGGTCGGGAATTACCACTTATAACTAATTTCTTGCTCAATTCAAATCGAATAGCCAACGAGTTGTATCCGATTATCAGTAAATGGTAATCTTCGTAATGTTCATGGTAACTTTCTTACCAAAAAATCCAAGATAGATATCCTTAATTTTCCAGGCTTGTAGGCATTGTTTGAATAGCGACAGTTCAAGATGATATGTTATGAGGAATCCAGGTTGGTTCTTGGCTACGCATTCAGATAATTAGATGGTCCGTATTACCTTGTATATCCATCCTGTTTGTTATAGTGGTGTTCAATCGTACAAGTATATATAAACGAGCTGGTTCATTGCAGTTTCACAGAACATGAACGTGTAAGGTTTAGTATAGTTGTTATACAGACGCGGCGGCCATGTTGAAATAGTCGATTTTGGATAACTACTTTATGTAAGTAGAAACGATTAGTGTCATTCCCAGCCGACTTTGGTGGTCACTCTACGTAAGCAAAACGATCAATGTCGTTGACAGGGACTCTCAGGCAATTGTTAAAATAGAAGGTAAAAAGGCCTGGTGACGTGTTTCGATGAGCATTGTACTGAGAATTGGTTTGGTGGTCTCAGCGCAAAAAAACATTACATTTTCTAAATTTCTGGCCCCACCTCATAAAGCAATAATGGGACACATTTTTTAAGAACGAGACAAACATGTACACTCTCTTTTTATATATCTAGTTGATGAAAATATACAGAATTACCAAAAAAGAATGAACGGCACACAATGGTTATCGTGAAAGCATCTTTTAGCCAGGAACCATGCTTTTCGCAATCGCTTTTGATTTAAGGCTGCCTCACAATTTAATGGAACCAATGTGAAGAGAATTGTAACCAGTGAGGATTGATAAGGGTCTTCATCGAACCTCAAAAGTTAGAGTTTCCATGGCAAGGAATTATTATGATTTCAAGGACTTGGTAGTTCTCTCCTCGAGTAATTAGTGGACTTGTAAGTCTTTGAAAGGAATGAACCATACAAAAGCAAATGATGCTAGTGTGATATTTCAGCGCATCACATCACTTTTGGTAAGTCAAGCGACATCGAAAGTAAGGAAATGTTTACTTAACCTGTGAAGTACATGGCACAAATACATATTAGCTTAACTGAAACGACTTCCATTTGTTGTTTTCAGATATATTTGATTCAGTTGTATTTGATAAAATAATGTTGTTTGACAGTTAGGTAAAGCTGTTTTGTCATATATTTGATTCAGTTGTATTTATTTATGTTGCCTCACAGTTATTGGGGCCTCTTATTAGGCAAGTGAGTTGAACTTTTTTGTAGTGCTGTTGCCTGACAGTTATAAGGACCTCTTTAGTTATCTACTTTGAAGGGGCCACTTTTGGCATGCAATTTGAATATTTTGCCACATATCGCCAGCCTCCAAGGGGCCACTTTTGCCATCCAATTAAAAAATCGCCAGAGGCTGGTTATTTTTCGTCAGTTTCGCCATTGCATGCATGGCGATTTTTGCCAAAATCACCAATTTCGCCAAAATCGCCAGCCTCCAAGGGGCCACTTTTGGCATCCAATTCAAATCGCCAGAGGCTGGTGATTTTTCGCCATTTTCGCCATTACATGCATTTCTGGACATAAGTGGATGGGTATGGTGAAGTACCTCTCAAAATTCCGTGGTGACCTCTCTCAGATTTGTGAACCTATCAGGCATCTAATCCAAAAGACGTACCTTGGTTCTGGACACAAAAACAGGATGATGCCTTTGACAAGATAAAGGAGGCAGTTACCTCTGCCCCAGTTCTCAAGTACTTTGATTCTAGTAAGCCTACAGAAGGAAGTGGAAATGCCTCTTCACAAAAACTTGGTTTTGTACTCACACAAGAAGACCACCCCGTCACCTATGTAAGCCGGGTTCTGACACAGGCTGAACAGCGTTACTCACAAATTGAAAAGGAGCTCTTGGCTCAAGTGTTTGGTTTAGAACACAACCATCTGTACATTTATGGTAGAAAAGTTACGCTGTATACAGATCACAAGCCCTTGGTGTCCATCTCAAGAAATCCATTAACATATGCATCAAAGTGTCTACAGACACTCCTCCTCCTCCTCTTACAGCAGCATAACGCAGAAATCAAATACAGGCCCAGAAGAGAGATGTATCGCGTCGATACTCTATCAAGAGCCTATCAAAGTCTAAGTCCTACTGACACACAGAGATCAGAGACTGAGAGAGACGTAGAAAGTATTCATGCCGTAGAAGACAATCTAGCTATCTCCGAGCAGCAGCTGAGTGAAATCAACCAAGAAACGGCTAAAGATCCAACTCTTCAGACCCTCAAAAAAGTGATCCTACGGGATGGCCTAAAAACAGCAGTTCAGTACCAAAGGAAGTCTCCAAATACTTCACTCTGAAGAGATGAGCTTGCATACAAGATGGAATCATCCTTAAAGGCCAACAATGTGTTATCCCCCAGACCCTGAGACAGGATGTTAAAGAGAAGATCCACCGTGCTCACATTGGAATACATGGATGCCTGAGAAGAGCACCTGAGGTCGTTTTCTTGCCTTCTATGAATCAAGAAATAGCGATTACATTGAACACTGTGATTCATGTAACATTTCAAAAAAATATATCATCAAGTGTCGTAAATTGATGCCCTGGAACGCGATAGAAAGGTGTTTGCTTGGAGTCATAATTTTAATTAAGACTGGAACATAAGTAAAGCAGACGCCAAGTATCTGCCAGAGATGCGTCATTTAAGCACAAGGCAATGTGAGAAGCCAAAGTCCCATGCAACCATTTTTTTGTGACGTGACCTTTCCGGTTAAAATGAAAAAGATTTTGATCTTTCAAAATGTCTTAAAAATAACAGCTCGCGTTATCTACCCGTAGAAAGTAATTTACATGAACTTAGACTTACTGTTGGTCTTTAACACATAAACAAATCCAGATCGGACTGCCCATGATTTGGATGGGGCACGCCAGGCTTAAAAGACATTACGTTAAATCATTTTATATTTCCTTTGTCACTGATAAAATTTTTGAAGGAGCGACCCATATGTCATGTGGAAATATTAAATACACGAGTGCCAGAGTCAGAAAATCCTTTGTGTGATACGACATGATGTGTATGACAAGGCACCGCAAAACTTGTTTCCAGTGTCGCTCAAATGAATGGACGGCAGAGACCATGCACGCGTTTTGTTTTGTTTTAGAGCGTCAGGCAGTAATCGTGCGATGTAACCAAGTTAAATTCTTACTAATTAACCCATTCGCCCCTAAACTGCCTGTAACCGCCCGTGTACAACAACCCCCGAATTCCCTGAACCGCCTGTAAAAATGGCCACTGGTCTTGACCCTCTCCCCACTCCTACTGAGTGTCATTTGCTCTTTCGTCATCATAAAGATTTTGACAGGTAATAAACCAATCACTTGCCGTCTTTTATGCAGATTTTGTCAGCTGATGAGAATAACACAAGGTCGGGATTTTCCAATGAGCAAAAGCCAACACGTTTTGCGAAAACAAAGGCGGCTTCTTTTGCAATTGACCCTGAGGTCGCATCATTTTTTGGGGACTCGAACTTTAATGGGTTTGGAGAATTAAGGAGGGATAGGGGGATATTTCTGATACAGATTTAGATGGTCTAGAAGCCAAAGAAGATGAAGCTGGCTCTGGAGATGCAGAATGACAAGGAGGATGAAGAAGAAGCTCAGTGGACTGCCCACCTTATGGACGTACAAGTTCCTGATTTCCTGGCAACTAGTGGAGTTAATGTAAACTTAAATGATCCTAATGAATTAGATGTGTTTTTGCATTTCATAGGTGTTGATTTGTGGGATCTCATTGTAAATGAAAGTAATTGATATGCGCAGCAAAAGCTAGGTGATAAATTTGTAAATGCCTGACACATCACATGCCAAGAGTTAAAGGCCTTTATTGGAGTAAATATGACCATGGGGATTCAAAAGATGCCAAACTACGCATTATTTTCATCTGACGATATTTACATAGGAAACTAAGGAGCTGAGGCTACTATGACTAAGAACAGGTTTGAAGAATTATCTTGTTATTTGCATTTCAGCGATTCAAGTAAAGAACCTGCCTGTGGCGACACAAATTATGGTCGTCTTTTCAAAGTTAGAGCTGTGCTATATTATGTAGGTAATAAACATGAGAACAAGTTTAAGCCCACTAAGAATATTGCTGTTGCTGAGGGTATGATCGGTTTTCGGGGTAGATTATCTTTTTGACAGTACATGCCAGCCAAGCCGACTAAGTATGGAAGTTTGGATGGCCGCTGATTCTAGTAATGGCTATGTGCTGAATTTTGATGTTTACTCAGGAAAGGAAACGAATCGGCGGAGAATTTTTAGCCTAGGTTGATGTTGTAACTAAATTGATTAGACCATTCGTGAATAAGAACCATCCTGTATATTTTGATAATTTTTTTTAGCTCTGTAACCTTGTTAGAACATTTAGAAGCAAACGGTAGTTACGCTTGTGCAACAGTTAGATGTAATCGTAAAGACTTACCTCAATATGCCAAGGAAAAACTTTTCCTAGGGGAAAAGGTAGTCAGCCAGAAAGGAAGTGCAGTTTTCACAAAGTGGCATGACAAAAGAGATGTTAGCATAATTTCTACTAATTGTAGTCCTTTAGCTGCAGATGTTGTTGTAAGTAGGCAAAATCAGGACGTTTCAAAGCCAGCTGTTGTAGATAAGTACAACAAGCACATGGGCGGTGTTGATCTTGCAGATCAGCTACGTCAACATTATTCCATAGGTCGTAGTTCGTATAAGTGGTATAGATATATCTTTTGGTTTTTAATGGACATTTCAATTTCTAATTCTTTTCTCCTTTTTGTAGCTACAGTTTAGAGCAAGGGAAAGACAAAGAGCCACAATTAACTTTTAGACTAATGTTAGCTCGGCAGTTGATCGGGGGATTTTCATCTGTATCTTTGGCAGGCCATTCATGAGAGCACCGCAAAATTGACGAATTAGCGCTTTCTCCCCCAAACACAGGTTCTCATTTCATTGTAAAGATTAAAGGTAGAAAGAAAGTTTGTGTTCATAGTAAGAAGGTTGGTAGGAAAACAGTTTCAGGCAGTGGAATTGAGACAGTATCACTTTAAGATGAAAAAAGAGTACTTATTTTTTGAAAATGATTGTTGTTTTGCTTGACCTTTTTTACCCTTTGGCTGTGGTTAATTTATTTGATGAGATAATTCGATTTGCGTGTTCTAACGCATTTACGCATTTGGGTTTTCCTTTTCCCAGTTTTTTGGCTACAGTTCTTTCATGATTGGCACATTTTATAATTTGGCTACAATTTATCTTTCATGTTTTGAACAAACTTGATTTGGAAACCCATTTGTGTGTCTTTTATGTGATGTACAGAGTGCACATTTCCTTGCTTGATGCAAAGTGCTTGTAGCTTGTTTACTTTGAAATTATTCCTCTCTTTGTGGCTTCACCTGTGTTAAACCAGATTTATCTGAAACAAAACTTCAATAAACTTTAGTTAAAGTAAGGCACAGTATTTCGAAATCGTGTTTTTACTCATTTTGGCTTTGATCATTGTTTGCTCATGTGTTTTGTGACCCGTGAGATATTTATTTTTGTGCGTTTTGTCATGCGAGAAAGTAATTTTTCTATTTCCATAGTCCTGTTGACCATTTGTACCAATTCCTTTGGTTAAACAGCGTTTAGTTTTCATTTTCTAGTCACTTATTTATTCCACTTCAAAAGAGAGTTTGTTTGGAAACTTGATCTTGTCTTTGGTTTTACTGCGCGTATGGTTTATTCCACACGCCCTCACAAATTTTTAGGCTAAAACTCCCTGGGAATTGGGGGGTTGTCGAGCTTAAAAGTTCCACAAGTGAATGGATTAATCAATAATTTACCTTAGTGGGACTTTCAAAGTTCAAAAGCACTGAGGTTTTGATTTCAAAACCATTTGAAGTGAAGGTGGCCATTGACCATACGAGTCTTCGTTTGCCATTTTGAGTCTGTCGAGGGTCACAACCCTTTAAAGCATTGGTATGTGTTCAGAAAAGAAGTATGTGGAGTCCGTCTGTTGTGCATTAGTGGGTATAACGGGTTACCTGGCCGAACCTTACCTATAAAAGACCAATTTATGTCCTCATAAATTTAAGTTAATGGGACAACCATGAGAGATTACGTGCCGGTTGTGTGACATGCTTTAAGGTATGGGGTAGGGTTTCACAGTCCAAAGTTTAGCGTGATCACATGCATTTGTAACGCAAACTGTTCGCTGAGCCAATCAGAATCGGCTGGTATTTCACTGTCAATAAATCCTCAGACATCGAGCACGAGTTGTGTGTTCATTCATTCATTCGCTGCGAGCTAGCAACTGTATTTGTCTTGTTCTACAATGTGTTTTCGCAGCCGTTCAATTTGCTTTTTCGCTCGCTTCTGAGACGGTTTCCCTATCCTGTGAGGCGATCCTGTGAGGTGTTTTCAAGTTGCAAATCATGCCGCCACGAGCACGCCGGTCGACTTCCCGCCCAGGCGCACAACCGAATATCGACCCGACCGTGCTTGGAGCCCTATCCATCGCCGACCTTCGCTCTCTTTGTGTTCAACATGGGATTCCGTCGACAGGAGTCAAAAGACTCTCGAACGCCGGCCCGGGACCTGAACAATCCACCACCAATTCAGGTTCAAGAAATTAATGAACACGAACCAGCAAATCCAAACAACGACGAAACGGCGGCACACAGGCAAGAGCGCCCTGAGTTTACAGACGGCCAGATGCAGACGATTCAACGATTAATTGCGGACACTGTGAAACAATCCGCCAGGGAGATAGCGACCGAAGCGGCTAGGGCCGCTGTGAGTGCTTCGTCGAGCCTCCTTGCCCAAAGGCCCCCTTCGCTGGTGCGTGAAACAGCGCCCGACACGACAGCTCCCACGAACACTGCGGCGGTAAACTTCGCATCGCCATTCCAAGACATCCCAGGGCAGTATATCAAAGACATCCAATGTGGTGAGTTTTTTGATCTTTCCAAACTACTTCCTAAGAACCTGTCGCTGCACGACGAGGAGGATAATCTTGTCCTCTCCTTAGAGAACTCCGTCGTTAAGGTGTCGAAGAAATCGAAGCAGACGGCCTCCACCTCTATTACCGATATTGAACAGTGGACCACTGCTTTTACGTCCTATATGAGTGTACTAATCGACAAGTTCCCAACACGATCGCAGGAACTCTTGCAATATGTTAGTTTAATTAGATACGCAGCCCGTGTGCACAAAGGGTTAGGATGGGCCATTTATGACTTTAAGTTTCGCCAGAAAGCTAGCGTCAATAAGTCTATTAATTGGTCAGTGGTTGACACTCAGCTTTGGTTAACCATTTTCACCGTGTCACCAGCGATACTCAAAGAAGAGTATCCGCTTTTTTCAAATGGACCCCAGCGAAATGTGTCTACAACAGGGGATGCGAACAGAGGCACATGCAACTTTTACAATAGGAGTGGCACATGTAATAGAGACCCCTGCTATTTCAGACATGTGTGTAACAGATGTAGTGGATTACACCCAAGGGTTGACTGCCCGGCCCACCCTGTGCGGCAACCAGAGCGGGAAGGGGGGAGGCATAGAGAAAGTGACCATGGTGGAAGCTCAAAGTCAAGTTCCTCTCATCGAAAGTGAGAACACTACTTGCCCCTCCCGACCCCTATTAATGTACAACGACTTGAGGAAACATTGACTAATCATCCTGATCGGGAATTTGTCTCGAAATTGTGTAACAATCTTAGGTATGGGGCCGATGTGGGTTTTACTGGGAGACGTGTTGCTAGATTTTCTAGGAATCTGCCCACTGCCCTTTCCCAACCAAATATTGTTTCAGAAAACCTTTCCAGGGAAGTGGCCCTGGGGCGAGTTGCAGGTCCTTTCCCCACCCCACCACTGCCCAATTTCCAGGTGTCACCCATCGGATTGGTCCCCAAAAAACATTCTACGAAGTTTAGGACCATCTTTCACTTATCTTTCCCAAAATCTGGAGCGACAAGTATCAACTCTTCAATCCCCAGGGAGGATTTCAGCCTTCAGTATATAACAATCGACAATGCAATCCACGGGATTTTGAGCCTCGGGCAAGGGTGCTTTCTTGCGAAGACCGATATCGAGTCAGCGTTTCGCCTCATCCCTCTTAGGCCTTCAGATTATGAGCTCTTCGGCATGTATTGGGAGGGTAGCTACTACTATGACAAAGTTCTTCCCTTTGGCTTGAGGAGTGCCCCTTTCCTGTTCAATTTATTGTCCGATGCAATAGAGTGGATCCTCCTCAATCAATGCCAGGTTTCGTTTGTTTGTCATATCCTGGATGATTTTTTAATCATCGAACCAGCATTATCCTCTCCCCCTCTAAATTTGCTATGCCAGCAGAGCTTGAATAGCATGCTCTTGACCTTTAGGAATCTGGGTATCCCCATTGCAGCCAACAAAACAGAGGGCCCCTCTACTACCCTTGAGTTCATGGGAATTATCCTGGACACCGTCCGGATGGAGGCGAGACTCCCAGCAGATAAGGTGGAACGGATACAGGCCTCCCTTGCCCTCTTTCAAACAAAAAGGACATGCACCCTAAAGGAGTTACAGTCACTCATTGG